ACCTTTTTGGGGTTCCACCTGAAACACAAACATCTGAGGAATCACAGACAACATGTGTCTGGGTGACTTCCCACGAGAAGATTGTTTCCACCGCAATCCATTTATTAGCAGATTTCAGTTCCATTGTTTTGTTTTGTTTACTTTTTATTTATATTTCTCTCATGCAGTACATCCCAACCATAGCTTCCCCTCAAATCCTCCCAGTTCACCAAAACCCCTCCTTCATCCAAGACCCAGAAAAAAACAGATTTCCAAGAATATCAGTCAAACATGGCACAACGAACTACAATAAGACCAGACACAAACCCTCACATCAAGGCTGGGTGAGTCAACCCTGTAAGAGGAAAATGGTCCCAAGAGTAGGCAAAGGACTCAGACACCCCCACTCCTACTGTCAGGGGTCTTCCCCAGACATCAAGCCAACAACCATACATATATGCAGGAGACCTAACAGACTCTTGCGTGCTGCTTCACTCTCTGTGAGCCCCCATGAGCCTGGCTTAGTTGAGTCCGCAGGCCTTGCTCTCCTGGTATACTCAGCCCCTCTGGCTCCCACAATTCCTCCTCCCTCACTTAAGATTCATTGGAATCAAGTTTCACCCATGGTTTAAAGACAAGGGCCAAGTTTCATTCTTCTTCATTTATCTACCCAGTTTGACCAGTACCATTTACTGAAGATGCAGTCTTTTCCCCAATTTGTGTTGCTGGCCTTTTTATCAAAAATCCGGTGGCTCTAGGAGTGTGGGATTATATGTTCTCCTCTTCAGTTGTGTCCCGCTCATCAGTGTGTCTGCTTTGTGTCGGGGCCATGCTGTGTTTATGATGACAGTGCTATGGCTCGGCTTGCAATCTGGGGTAGTGATGATACCTCCAGCAGCTTTGTCTTCCTTGTCGTTGTCATCATTGTTCAGAATTGTTTTGGCTAGCTTAAGTCTTTTATATGTCCTTGTCAATTTTAAGATTATTTGTTCAATTTCTGGGAAGAACTGCATTAGAATTTTGGTGGAGATTGCCTTGAATCTGCAGATTGCTTTAGGGAGGATGGCTGTTTCACAGTGTCCTGCAAGTCCACAAACATGGGAGGTCTTTGCCTCTTCTGGTATCCTCTTCAGTTTTTTTCCTCAGTTTTCATTGTCCCAGTGTTTAATTTCCTTGGTTAGATTTATTCGAAGATTTATTTTGTTTTGTCTGAAGCTATTATTTATGGTACTTTTTCCTTTATTTTTCTCAGTGCATATATCATTTGAATGCAGGAAGGCTACTACTGTTTCTGTGTGTTAATTTATATCCTGCTACTTTGCTGAATGTTTCTGCTGGAGTCCTTTCAGCATAAAATCACATCATTTGCAAATGAAGATACTTTAACTAGTGTCCTAGTTGTACCTCCTTATCTCCTTCACCTCTCCTGTTAGGTAAGACTTCAGTGGCTGTGTTGAAGTACAGTGGGGAGAATGGACATCCTTGTCTTGTTCCAGATTTTAGTGGAGTTTCCCTCCATTTCACATGATGTTGGCTATAGGCTTCCTGTTTATAACCTTTGTTATGCTGCAATATATCCCCTGCATCCCAGCTCTCCGGGAATGGATACATGTCAGAAGCCTTGGCCAGTTTTAAAGTCTATTTAGTCAGATACTGGTAGAATACACCTCATGTCTTTGGTTCCATTTGCTTGGAATACTTTTTGTTCATCTTTTTACCCTAATGTGGTATAGATATAGGTCATGAGATCTGTTTTTTGCAGACAGAAAAAAAATTAAAAAAGGAATCCTATTTTCTGGCCCACGCAGTTAGTCTGTGTCTGTCTATTGGAGAGTTGAAATCATTAACATGACGTTTACGTTTTGGTTTGGTTTGGTTTTTTTGCTTTTGTGGCTTTCAGTCAGACCTCTTTTGTAATAGTTTATTTTTATTTTATATGTGTGCATGCTTCACTCACACGAATGTCTCTCCAGTACATGTGTGCAAGGTGCCGTACATGTGTGCATGGTGCCCACCGAGAGCAGAAGGCGGTGTCCAGCCCCTGGAACTGAGTTACAGAGAGTGGTGAGCAACCATGTACATGCTAAGAACTGGATCCAGGGCCTCTACAAGAGCAGCCGGTGCTTTCTAGACTAGATCGTCTCTCCAGCCCCAGCTAGACCTCTCTTAATTTAGTGTGGCAGAATTATTTGTTCCTTGTCTGTGTTTAACCTTCTCTTCAGACATAGACATCTATTCCAGTGCCTTGTGTAGAGGTAGCTTAGTGGTCATAAATTTCTTGTGTCTGTTTTTATCATATAAAATTTCCTTTCTCCTTCTATAATGACTGACTGATAGTTTTACTAGGCATGACATTCTGTGCTGGCATCTGTGATATCTCATAATTTGTTAAACTTCAGTCCATTCTCTTCTCATTTTCAATGTCTCCAGTGAAAAAACTACTGTGATTCTGATACACTTACCCTTGTATGCGAGTTGCTTTTTCTTTCTTGCTGCTTTCAATACCCTTTTTTTGTTTTGTACATTATTGGTTTGGGCTATTACATGTCACAGGGAATTTCTGGTCCTGTGTGTTTGGTTTTCTATGTGCTTCTTGGATCTTGATAGACATGTCTTTACTATTAGGGAAGCTTTTTTTTTTTGGTCTTGTTGACAAGGGTCTCTTCTCTGTCTGCTGTAACTGTTATTCATGGGTTTGACTTTTTGTTTACAAAGCTCCAAACCTCAGGCATGTGCTCTTCTTGTCTGCTGCTGCTGTTGGTTTTGTTTGTTGTGCTTTGTTGTGACACTGTCTTTAGCTGAGTGAGCCAATTCCTCTACCTTTAAGACCTGACACTTTTGTTCCACTTGATCCAATCTATTGATGAGGTTTCCTTCTGAGTTGTTTTTATTTGTTTGACTTCTTGATTCCTGAATTTATCAAGTTTTATTTCATTCTGGCTTTTCTTCAGAGAGAATATTTCTTTATTATATTCCATTTTCACATACTGAATTATTTTCATTATTTCATTCACATGACTGTATCTTTGTGATCTTCATTCTAGCATGTATTCACATTCACTTTGAGTTCCTTCATCGTGTTTATTATTGCCATTCCAAAGCCAGTGTCTTGTGCTAATTACTTGTCTCAGGGGATATTACTATAGAAGTACTAATTCTTGGTGGAGAGTTGTTTTGGTTTTTCACATTTGTGCATTTATGATGGGAGCTTGGCATCTGGAGTTAGGATTGTTTCTTGATACGGAAATCTTATCTTTATTTTCTTGAGTGTGTTTCTGAAGCTCTGTTTCCTGTTGCCCCAACTTGTCAGGTTGACTAGCTGTATGGGGCTTGAGGTTCAATCTTTGGAAAAGCAGTGTTGATGTTTGAATGGAGTATTACAGATATTCTGATTTTAACTTGAGCTAAGTTATGTTTCTAAGCCCAGGCAGAGACCTTCTATAAATCCAAAGGATTTTCATAGCCAGTCTTCAGGAGTCCAGGGAGTACTCAGAACTTTCTCTCAGGCACAGGGTGCTAGTGGAGTTGACAATGCAAGGCAAGGATTCCTACCAGAAGGGGAGAGGCAAGGGGATGGTAGGAGACACACAGGCCACACATTCTTCTAGAAGATCATGGGGTGAATGGAGTTTCAGGTACACATCTAGTGAATTTCCTGTAGAAGGGTGGTCCTCAGATCTTAAGGATGGGCAGTGTTGGTGGTGTAAATCTTTTGTCTAGCTAGAGAGGAGCTGGTGTGGGCAGCAAGGGAGGGTGGGCTCAATTAGTGAAGGGACTCTAGATTCCCTGCCTGGAGATGGGAAGATGAGGGTGTTGCGCAGAGGTGGATGGGGTTAGCAATGTGAGTTAGGCCTTCAGAAGGCAGGCCCGGGGCATGTGTCATGAGGGCATGTGGAATAGTGCTGTGGGTCTAGTTCCTCTCCCTAGAGAACATCAGTCTACAGGCTACAAGGATGAGTGGAATTATGGCATGCTTCTAGGGTATGTCTAGAGAAGGGGCCATGTGTGAACACAGAGATGGGTGAAGTAGACTTGGAGTGGGGCAGGGTGGGTGGTGGGAGTCTGGACGCTAGTAGTGGGGGAGAGATACGGTTAGTGGTGTGTGTTGGGGCTCTACTTGAAAGGGGGGCTCCAGAAGGCAGGCACACACAGACCACATGTTCCTAAGGCAGTCCCAAGGGAAGAATGTAAATGTTTAAGGAATTATACGTTGGATATTTTCCTAGGCCGTGGGAGTCCTAGAGTTTAAAAGGTTTAGCTCTAGGATTATGAAACTATTCCGAGTGAGCCTCATAAGTGGCATAGCTGTCAGCATTCTGTATAGAATGTGTTTTAACTGTGTCTTCCTACGCCGCAGTATTCCTGTACATCTCATTGCAGTATGTCAGCAGGTGACTTAGTGTCACTGGTGGTCAGTACTGGTTTGGCTGGTCCCTTGAAATATAGCCTTGGAAAGACTATGGTCCTGAGGTTGCTAGAGACCAGAGGCATTCTCCTTCAAAGACACTGTCACTGTAAACTGACTCTGTAGCTGTTGGCATCCAAGGCCTCATTGTCACGAGCTTGTCCTCTTGCTATTCATATTCCATTGAGTTGGCAGCACCATTTAATTTTACAAATCCCCGAAGAGGAATCCTATGTGTTCATTTTAGATATGTAGGAGGACCTTGTCTTTGGAAGGAAACAGGCTAGGCTCCACTGAAGAAAGCTCAAGGGAGGACACTTCCTCCTAGAAAAGGCTCCAGGGCACTTGAGGGCTCCAGACTCCTGGCCACACCATAGGTCAGTGAGAGGTCCCCGTTGTCTCATAGTTGTTGAACACCGTCCGGCATTCAGCACATTCAGGAAGTGCAAGAGGTAAGAGTGCATGCAGGATGTGCTTGCTGGGCACACTGCTGCCTCCCTGCTGCCGCCTGCAGCCTGCAGAGCATCCTCGGTGAGAGGTCTCTAAAGGTGTCGGGTAGCAGCATGTAAGGTGAACACAGAGCATTTGTTATAAAATGTCATCTTTCTGCTTTCAGTGAATATTCAAGATGTGGTATTACAAGAGAATTTGGAAAAAGAAGATCAAATTCTGGTGTCCTTGGCAGGATTAAAACAGGTATGTGCACCATTCTGACACTACTGTGTGTGTCACAGGCCAGCACCCGCTGCCAGCTCTGGGGAAGGTGACCAGAGTATGTAGGACACAGTCAAGCCATTGTTCTCTCTCACCGATATCACCACAGAGGGAGTTCCTTCCGAAGCTCCACCTCCTCCTTACTCCTGGTGATTCTGTCTGAAGTGCCTTGTGGCCCTAGCGGTTTTCCATTCCCTTCATCACCTACCCCTACTAACTCTTTGCAGGCACACTGTTTGCACCTTAGCTCAACATCAGGCTTGGCTGTGTCTCTACAAAGACGTGGGTATTGGTGGAAGCCCATGTCACGGTCACATCTTTCAGCAGTCCCTCAGGATCCTGACAGGGCTAAGCCAGATGACGTATCGGTGGAAAGGAGCCTGTACTGATCTGAACAGGCCAGCTGACGTGGAACTGCCTCCTAGTTGTGCATCAAGGCATGTGGTGCCTCTTACTGAGTAAAAATCAGCACAGTGGTGCAGGCACCTGTTTGTGAACTTGGAAGAATCTGACATTAACATGGTCAAATTTTAATTGGCCATTACTAAGTCCATAACTTCGAAACAGTTGGATTTTTACCAATGGTTCATTTCTTAGAATAAGATGTTAGCATTTATACTACAGAAGCCTCCACTTCATCCAAGATCTTTCCAAGAATGCTTAAAATCACAAAGTTTACTGTGCCCTGCATATACTGTTTTTTTTCCTACTGACCTAAAGTAAGGTTTAACAACTAGATGCAGTGAAATATTAACAGGATGACTGGAACAACATAATAAGGTTTGTGTATATTCTTTCTCAAAACTACCTATAGTACTTTCTCCTCTTCTAATGATGCAAAGTGATACAGTGCTCCCTGACGACATGAGGAGAGGGTGGTGAGGGCTGGGATGCTGTGCTTGGCCCCTGTGTAGAAGTACTGTGATGCGGCACAGCTGATCTGACGAGCAGGACCGCAGAGGACCAGCATGGGCAGTGTGCATGCAGGGTTGATTCCCATCCTAGCTCGCTGCAAGTTGTTCTGCTGGAGATGGCAAGAGACTTCACACTGGCACACAGCTTAAACCCAGAACCTATTCTTTCTAGAACATCAGCAACTGAAGGTCACTGGAGCTACAAATGAAGGGAATTGCTGTAGGAAAGCAGGTCAATGGCAAGTCTGCTTCTAATACCTGTGATGTTATCTAGCAGTGTTTAGCTACAGACTTATTTATCTTTTCGTTATCTTTGTCTCCTTTGAAAACAGATCAAAGACATTCTGAAAGGTTCCCTGCGGTTCAACCAGAGCCAGCTGGAGGCCGAAGAAAATGAACAGATCACCATCGCTGATGACCACTACTGCTCCAGCGGCCAGGACCAGGGCAGCCAAGTTCCTAGGGCCACCAAGCAGGTACAGGAGTCTTGAGTACTGAGGAGAATGGGCTTTCATGAAGTTAGCACGAGTTCCTCAGAGTTCTGAATAAGGACAGTTCTGTCAAAGTACCTCAGGCTCTTCTACAGGAAGTTCAGCTGTGAGCTAACACATCTGAGCCTTAAGTACTGTGTACTCTTGTACCGGCTGAGCATTCCAGAGGTCATGACACTCACAGTGGTGACAGTAAGGCTTGGGTCTGAGAGTTACACAGTGCGTGCTGCGTGAGCCTGTGTGTGCCGTCATCAGTCTGAGCCTCCAGCCACCCTCTGAGATGAGAAGCCAGCTATCTACTAGAGAGATGATGGCCCAGTTGCTTCCAGCTAATATCTCCGGTTCACTAACACTGGAAGGACTCTGTGTTCTTTCTAATGCTGCCTGGGGTTGGGGGTGGGCTTCTCTTGGCTAGTTCCCTTTTTGCCTAAATCGCTCTCTTACCTTCGTGGGGAAGAACTCTCATTACATTACTGTCTACCTGATAAGACAGGGTCAGCAAATGTCCTCTGTGAACGGCTGAGTGCATCCTCTAGAACCTACCACCACATAGGACTGTCTCAGTCACATTTAGGTTTTCTTTCTGCTTTGTTTGGTTGTTGGTTGGTTTTAACAACTCTTTAAAACTGTGATGCTGTCTCCAATTGAGAGCCTGGGTTGCAGATCTCTCCTGATAGGTGTCAGCATCCAGGAGCCATTCTGCAGGGTGTTATGACTAGAGGAGTTTCAGGACTCCTAATAAAGTTATGATTTTGTTTGGTTTCTTGAGTTGGTACCTCCCTATATAGCCTAGGCTAGCCACAAACATGAGATACTCCTGCCTCAGCCTTCCAAGTGCTGGGATCACAGGTGTGTTTGCACTATCAGGACTGGTGTGTCAGTGATGTTTCTTAAAAGGCAGCTTATGAAATTCATCCTTAAAAATGAACCTTAGCAAAATCTTGGTGTTGGAATGTTTTATTTTCTTGTTTCAAGGGTTTTCCTCCAGATGCAGAACTCTAGCCAACTCGTAAAGCTGTGTGAGTGCATTTTTACCCACATAAATGCAACATTAGCATTTTAATTTGATACATTTCTCCAGATTTCCCTTCACAGCTGTATGTAAACATTGTTGCACACAGACTCACCACTATTTTTAATTGGAACTTTTAAAATTAACATGAGTTTTTAGTTGACTATAAAAATAGCACATAAAAACTTCTTGGAGGAACACTAACCACTTGCTGCACTTACACTGTTCCAGGGATAGGTCTGGCTGCCTTCCGTAGTGGTAAGGACATGTAGAGCAAGTGTGTTGGCCCCTCGGTAAGTACAGAGCCAGTAACCACTGCAAAGATGCTACTGAGTGCTTCTTATGGGAAGGAATTAGCACATGGGAGGAGTGACTTCCAAAGCAGACACGTCCCCTCTCCACCTGCTTAGGAGTGTGTGCCCGTGGAGCTCCTTATAGCCCCTGAGAAGCAGTGTCCTGTCACAATGCACACGATCCCAAACAGGCTTTGTTTTTTAAGTTAAACTCTGAATTTTAGTGCTAGGCTTTCTGGATTTGTTCAAACCAGGGTCCTTAGGAAAAACCTCCCATGTAGCATCTCAAAGGGGCTGAGTTTTAGGTTCCCATAAGTAATGGAGTGGTGCAGACACAGCTTGGCACAAGGTGACCCTGAACTTGCAATTGACCCTTCTAGGCTTGCCAGGTAACTAAGGTCTCCATGCTGCATCTAGGGAGCCTCAACTCCTGTCTTGGAAACAAAAGCATGTGCTTATCACTTGGATAAACTAAGGAAGTCCTTAGTTGATGTCCTCTAGAAGTCTTCATGTGGCCTCTTCTGCTCTTTCTCTTCTGCAGAGGAAGGCCTCTAGCCATCTGTAGGCACTTAAGTCTAGCTTAACTGTGCCTCTTACTTGCCAGGCCTCTTCTGACAGTATGCCCTGGCCTGCACCACCCTCACCAGTGGATCACACGGGTGACTCTTTTGGAAGGTAGTTTTATTTGTAGTGTATTCTGTGACTTTGCCTTTGCTCTCTAAGCCTGGGGTCTGGACCATGTTCCATGAGTTTAATTATTTGAATCACTAAAACTTGTCCATCCCACTGTTTCTAGCTGGCAGGCTTTTTGCTTGAGTGACTGTCATCCACCCTATAAAGCAGTACATATTTGGAAGCCCGTCTGTCCTTACTTCCTGTGAGTAAAGGGTAAAAATCTATTCTAGAGCAGGGCAAGAATCAAAGGCAGCTGCAGACTCTTTATAGACAAGGCCAAGGCCACGGGTCTGTCTTCAGTAGCAGCTGTGCCATTTCTTTTTATCTCACTCTCCTCAGATGCCCTTTGCAGCTACTTTCTCAGGACGTTTCCTGCCTAGGGCAGTCTGACAGTCCCCTTCCATGTTTAACTTATTGTTGGCACAGGGGCCTCTGTTTCCAGACTGTTGTATGGATCATGAAGAAGACAATGCTGAAATCTATATAGGCAGTTTTCCTTTTCCTAATTCCAGCATCCAACTCAGATCTATTTCTTGAGCGCTTTGAGCTGAAGTTCTGAAGGGCAGGTGCTTTTGCCTCAGTGGGCCTATGGGAAGAGATGGTGCTACAAAGCCAGCCTAGAGAGAACTTAACTACAGACCTGTTCCTGCCCACCCCTCTTCTGCTTCAGCATTCAGCAGGAGCCTCTGAAGAGGCCTTTCTGCATGAGGACACCAGTGCAGTCATGCACTAATATTTCCTAGGATCCTCCATGCGATATAACTGGGGTGCATCTCTGTCAAGGCGTTAGCATTACATGGAGGATGGCTAGCTCTTGGGCCTGGTACTATACCCTGTGGCCATTTGTCAGCCAGTCATGCACTGCTCCAGGTCTCCAGAGCACTCAAGAGCTGGTGTTGAGTGCTCACTGTTAGTGGCTCCCATGGTCAAGTTTGGCTTGGTTGCTGTTGTTTTACCTTTGATTAAGCATGATGTCCATCCTTGGGACACAGTATATAATTCTTCACAGAAGCTGACCATCACTCTTCTCAGAGAGCAGAACATCTGCATTGACACACCAGCCGTGACCGTGCCTTCCTGTCTATCCAGATCAAATCACTTACTCAGGTCTAGTCCAGGTAAAGCAATAGCACTCACCAGCTGCTCCTTGAGCATCCTAAAAGCTTGATTGTACTGTCTGCCCCACTGAAAGAAGAGTCTTTCCATGTGACTTACTACATGTGAGGCTTTGTGATTAATATTTAGGAATTCAAATAGACTGGGAACCAGCCATGCCTAGGAGGAGGTCTCACAACTGCTCCTAGGTTAGTAGAAGGACTAACTGGCAGATTGCCAGCATCTTGTTTTGGTTAAGGCTTTGTCCCTGAGAAACCGACCATTACTCAGTCACAAAGCTCAGGTCCGCCCTTTGTCTTGGACACTAGTGTTTTTCCTTTAGAGATCTTGTAGCCATTTTCAGCCAAGAAATTTAAAACCTCTTAAATTTAAAACACTTTTGTCTGAATCCCCTTATACAAGCTTGCAATTAGGATATGACTGTCTGCATGTTGTGGCAAAGTTCTAATCTCTCCTCTAGTCTTTGCCCAGGCTTTCCTCAAAAATGGCAGTGGAATTGTTAAATCCTTCTGGAAGATTGGAAACTATGGGTCAGACTCCCCACACAGCTTCATGTGGGCGAGCCCTGGACAAACCTGTCCTCCCCTCCTGGTTTAACCGCTGGAGATCAAGGTGTTTCTAAACCCTGCTTGAGAAGTTGGTCAGGCATAGCCTGGATTCCAGCCATGGACTCCAGTGTGCTTGAGGCCAGCTCTTACTTTGCTATAAGATAATCTGGAAGTTACTGGTCCTGCTTGGTCTTATACCCAGACCTCGGGTTTGACTTAAGTTAGTGCATTTTCAGGGAGAGTTTGGGAGATCACAGGAGCCTCATGGAACACCACCGTGTGCCCTAGAGCCTGGGTATTTGACTTGTTGGGCTGAAGAGGAAGTGTTCTGTTAGCATGTATCCATGTGGGAACGAGTGATTGAAACATTTGAACCACTTCACAAGTCAGACCCTGGAGAGATGGCTCATTTCCCTTTTCCTGCTATCCTTTCTATGTCGCTTCTCTCCTGGACAAAGTACACTGTTAGTAGTCAGCACAAAATGCATGACTTGCTGTGGTGTAGAAATCCATCGTCCTCAGTAGCTGCATCCAAGACCATGCCGGGTTCCTTGTGGAAATCTGTTTTGCATTAAGTGGAACCCCCCATGACTTTGTCTTCATCTTCTGCTGACAAGAAGCAGCTAACAGGAGTCAGGGGTGCTCTCTAGCCCCCATCTCAGGGACAGTCTGTGCCTCCTTTCTCTCTCTGTCCCTTCTATTGCCCCCAGCTGTGCAGACAAGCCAGCAAATTCTATGGTGGCGTGTCTTGGAATGCCTAGAGGGTGACTGCCAACAAGGCAGCCTGCATCCTCATCTTCTTTGGCCACATCAACACTGTTGGAACCTTAAAAAGGAATATCTAGTCGAGGAAGGTTAGTTTCTTGACCCACAGCCAATTTTGGAGTTTTATCAAGTGTCAAGAACCGCTCTAAAATGTGACATAAGTTCCCAGGCCTATGTGGCTACTGTGACCCTTACCACTGGTTGTGACTCTGGGGACATCTCAGCTCTCTACATACGTAACACTGTGACCACAGAGCAGGAGATATAGTCCTCACCCTGTCTCACAGATGGGAGATTTAAGCTTACCAGGGTTTCTTGTGAGGCTAGTTCCAGGAGTGGCACCTATGGCCTGGTGGCTAGCTTCTGGGCCTGGCCCTCCTACAGCATAGATGCGGTCTTTCCTTGCAGCTTCTCAAACAGGAGCTCAGTTTTTGTCTCCAGGGAAGTGTTTGGTTTCAGAGGGGCTCACAAGACTGACTGGCCCAGCACCACCACCTCATGGCTGGGCTCCAGGCCTTAGAGTAGCAGGACCAACCAGCCATCTTTCCAAATTGAGTGCCAGGTGAGGTGGCCACCTGGCCTCCGGGGCACTCTATTCGGGCCTCTGTTCAGTGCTGTCAGTCACTCCTCCAGTCACAGTCCTTCTCTGGTTTTACTTCACAGGCCTCTTCAGAGATGCCAGGCTGCACAGGTGGAGCGACCTCAGACGACTTCATTCTGGTTTCCAAAGAAGATGAGGGGCGCCGTACCAGGGGGTCCTTCTCAGGCCAGGCCCAGCCTCTTCTCACCCTCAGAAACACGTCTGGGAGAGGTCGAGTCCCAGCCTGTTCCCCACTGGTGTTCTCAGACCCATTGATGGGCCCAGCCTCAGCCTCCTCCAGCAACCCCAGCTCCAGCCCTGATGATGACAGCAGCAAGGACTCTGGCTTCACCATCGTGAGCCCCTTGGACATCTGAACACAGGAACCCCACTAGCGGAGACCCTGCTGAACCAGTGTTTTTTCCCAGCATGCATTTGGCATTGGTTCAACCCACTGGAACTCTTTACAAAGAGGCAACTATGCTTCTTTCAATGCACTGTTTACCAAAATGCAGATAGTTTTCCAGGCCCTTACCTGACCCTGTGATCCTTGCTGAATTAGGGCCAGGTCAGGTCCCCAACGCCATACCCACTGTCAGACACACCAGACCACAACAGAGTCACATGTCTTCCATCCCCCCTCTCCAGCAGCTCTGCCAGTTTACCCTCAGAAGGAAAAGTTGGTTTCAAGACTTCCCCTTATCAAAGCTTCAGCCACAGGGAACTTGTGATGCTGTGTGAAAATCTGACAGGCAGCCTCACTCCCAAGTTGGAAGCCCTACCACAGACTTGCCACACAAAAGGAGCAGAGCAAGTAGCTCCCAGCACTGCAGTCAAAGTGAACTGTAGGAGCGAGCAGAGTCTCAGATTCTTGTTTGACAAGAATACATTCCTGGACTCTGGGCTACCTAAACTTCAGCGACAACTATTCCTCCTTGAACAACTATTTCTCCTCCTACGGTCCCCACAGCCAGGAGTGCGGTGGCTCTAAGCTAGTCCATGCTGAAGTGGTTTTAAGAACCACAGGACTAAAACATCCTTGAATTAGAAAAATGTGTCCAGAGCTCTATGGTCAGGTTTCTGACATGGTTCAGAGCTACAGTAGCCTGTTAAGTGAAGGGCTCAGAGGAAAACCATAGTCCACCACCCCGAGTCAGGCCTCCCAGGAATTAGACCTGGGGTCTCTTCTGTGGGAACAGGCTTCCTGTAGAACATTCCAGGTGCCACAAGGATGCAGGGCTCCTACTCAACCCCTCCCCATTCCTAGAGCTCAGCTGTAAACTCCGCATCCAGATACTGCAAGAGTGAGCCTGCCTGCTTCAGGGCCCCTGCCTGGGCTGGGTATATGTGAGACACCCTTGTCTATTGGCTGAGTACAGAGCTGTGTTGTACATAAAGCTAGGGGAAGTGGGGATTGTGGATAGATGGAGCATCTGTTAGATGTCACCTCTGCCTTCTGTCATCCTCAGAGAGCAGCTGGCCAGTGCCCTCTCATTAATAGCATTGAAATTCTCTTCAGACAGGGATGCTAATGCCATAATGCTCTCAATCTTAGAAAAGGGGGACATCCCAGTCAGCTGCTCTGCGGCTTCTCCTTAGCTGTGCTGGATAGCAGGTCTGATGGCTTGCTCACATGGTGGCAAGGCTCAGTTATGGCCTCATGAATTCTGCCCCCTGCCTCTGACCAGTCCTCTCAGCATTCTGAGAAGCCTGCTTGCACACGTGTCCCATGAAGATGCTCTGTAAGAACCAGGGCCACTGTGTAGCAGGCATCCATCCCCTGACGGAAGGGCTGTCAGCAGCCACTCCACTTGAAGGCTTGACGGAAGGTGTCAGTACCTTAGAGCTAGGGTAGTAAGTATTGACTGGGACAGTGCCAGCCAGGTCTGTCTCAGCCGAGCCCTGTCCCCAGCATTCCCTTTGCTTTAAGAACAGGAGCCACAGATGTCTGTCACTGGTTACCCACCAGGCCACACGAAGGTGATAGCTGACTCCTTGCCATTTGAATGGGCATTTCAGAGTCCCTCAACCTACCTGCCCTGCCCATGCCCGTGATGTGCCCCCCCCATCCTGTGCCTGCATGGGTGCCACATGAGAACCCCCAGGTTCACACTGAGAGGTGCCTGTGGTCCCTAGTCAGGCCCCTCTCTCCTTGGAAAAACCAAGGATGGAAAGAGGTCTCTTTTATGAGTGAGTCCATTCTTTGCTGATGAACATTGCTTCGTTGCTTCCCTTGATTACCTACACTGCTGGTGTGGGATGCATTCCTGCCCTGTTAGTTTATCAGGTGTTTCTGTCTAATTGTACATTTTAAAGTCCTGGATCTAGAGAACCTTTTTCTTTAACCACATGGTAATCATCAGTTTTAATCGCTCACATTTTGATTATAGTGGCTAATATAGTTTATAAATGCCAAACTTAGATTAAGACCCACTGTCTTCTGCTCTTCCATACTCATTTCTGTGTTTCATGCAGTCCTCTCTGATCAGAGTGAACTGTGAGGTGAAACACACCTGTGTACAGAGGGTCACAGACTTGCCTTGTCTCCCGGGTGTGCCTCAGTTCAGTTCTTGGGACCTTCCTGGCTTAGTTTGGCAAGATAACCTGCTGTTGCACTAACTGCAGCTTGAAAGGAAGTGACCACACTGCCAAAAAGTGTGACAGTGGAAGGCAGCCGCCTCCCTGTAGACCCTTCTGGTAGGGGTGAATCTCCTCTACACAGGGGTTGGCTGTGCTGGACAAGCTTGCCAGCCTTGCCTTGAGCGTCAGAAAAGCTGAACAAATGTAAAGCTCTAGCTGTGACCTGCCATTCACTGCAGGCTGCTTTCTGCTTGCTAAAAATTTCTCCCAGTGACCACTAACGGACAAAGTGGGGAGCACCTGTGGCCCTGCATCAGCCAGTGCTATCTCTCCCCTGGGAGCACAGTCCTGACCTCGGCATTTACCCAGAGCAGGAACTGCTGGGAAATGAGAGCTGGGGAGGAGGACACGCGTGTGGAGATGTGGAGGCAGACCTCTTCACGGCCTGCTCCATGGTAAGCTCAAGCACTGCTTCTACCTTGTTGAAAGAGGCGGTGGTCATAGAGCCAGGCTGGTGTAGAAATTGTCCTTTGGTTCAGCTCATTTAGCTGATGTCCCAGCAGTACCAACAATGTCCTCATGAGTCGTCACGCCAGAACTCCTCCTGATGCAGGAAATGACCCTCCTTTGGCAGAGTGACCCCACATGATGTGTACTAATAAAAGAGAATTGAGAACTGGGGAAATGTCCACTTCTTCCAGTCACTTAGCTGCAGGGTCAGGCGAGCATGGATGTGCCTGGCCAGCAGGGCTGATGTTGGCCGTGCCTCGACCTCCCCTGCATTTCCTTCCTTTGCAACATGGGCAACCTTCCCAGCCTCCTGAGACTGCTTCCTAGTAACCAAGATACTACCAATTCTACTCACCGCTTGCCGTTCCTGCGAGGGTTACACAGGTTAAGATGTGGTAAGTGGAGTGACCCTCCATTTCAAGGTGATCATCGTGGTTCTGGAGGAGCCACTGAAGGAAGAAGCCCAACCCCCTGACAGTGTGGACTGCAGAGGCCTCTTGATGTGTGGCCCCACCCTGAAGCAGCCCTGCTTAGCCACTGTTCCAAGACAGCTTGCCCTTCCCTCCCATGCCAGTCCCCTGCAGTACATGGTTTGCCCCAGGATCAGGATAGGGGAGGTGATCAGAACACTTTACACCTTAAATGGTACAAAGGAAAGATGGGGAGTAGAGAAGGGCACCTGGGGTTTAGATGAAGCCAGGGAGCCAGTAAATGAACAGTCACTTAACATGTACCCAACCTAGACAGCCAGTGGACACAGCATGTGCCAGCATCCACAAGCCATTCCTGGGGTACAGGGACTACTAGCTCACTTGACCCAAACTTTTCCTGGTTATGATAGCCACACGTGTGCCAGAAGTGCCTCAGCTAACCAGTGTTCCACGAATTTCAGCTCTACCTGAAGATGCTCAGAGGATCTGGGTTTTGAACCTCACTCCTCCCTCAGGGACATCCTAGGCTGTTCCCCTGGGTTTCCTGTTGGGTTGGGCTCCTGTTGCAGGCTCCTCCCCTTTGAACCTCCTCTTGTAGCTCCATCCTTCCAGCTTCTGAGCTAAAAGCTGAGCCCAGATTGAAGGGAGAGGCAGCAGCATAAGGGCCAGGCTAGGTGAGGCAGCCAGGCTAGGTGAGGCCATCAGGCAAGGCAGGGGTGCCCTAGCTCAAAACGCAGGAGCAATTACACAGAGCCCATCTGAAGCCAGAACAGTCCCTCTACATGTGAGTTTTTTAACCCAGGCCTATCCAGTTGCCAGCTGGCCTCTGTGGCCAATGCCCTGTTGGAGTGGCTTCTGGCACTCCAAAGTGGAACACTTTGGCTCTTAAGTTTGCATCTGCCAGCCAACATCCTCTTAAGTATCTGAGCCACTGGGCGCTTGTGAACTCTGAGCACATCTGCTGTGAAGGACTTAGCAACAGAAAGCATCCACACATGGAGGGCTCCTTCCACAGATGCCCTTTGTGTCTATGGAGAGACATGTCTGCACCAGGAAGAGGCACCCGTAGACAAAGGGAGCCCAGATGAAGGCCTCTGTTCAGCCTAGGAGGAGGGGCAGGAATCTGGTGTCAGCCATCTCCCCCCCATGTGGCGAGCTGTGGACACACCTACTTCCTGCTCAGCAAATGTTCTGCTGCAGCTTCATAGGTTGTATTCCACCCAGGTTCACTTGCCGTAAGGGCTGGCCCTTCACCAAGGACTGACCATTCAGTGACAGCCAGTGTAGCTCTCAGACCACAGTGGTCATGGGAACAGTGTCAGGATACCGGCTGTGTTTAAGGAAACTGAGAAGAAGGGAGCCACAGTGGGGCCATCTTCCTGTGATAGAATTACAGTTAAGACCACCATGCACAGATATGGCCTCAACCTCCCCACAGCATCCTTGCCCCTCAACATGGTACAGCCACCTCCTGCCTCCTCGTCCCTTCTCCTGGTCCACAGCCACTCAGCTGCCCAAGCCAAGCCCTGATGTCAAGTTCTTAGCCACCCTGTCCTCTAATTAGCTCGTTGTAAATAAGGGCTAATTGTCCTTATCCCAGTCTGCCAAGCATGGCCAGTGAGTGTCCCCCAAGTCTCCAGCTCACCCCTCTAATAAAAACAGAAGTACCCTCCTCATCCCATAGGGCATGCTCCTACTCCAGCCTACCTCACACTAAAGCTACACCCATTCCACTTCCTCTTCTTGAGAGCTCTGCTCCCGAGCCTCCACTTTAGAAGTGCCAACCGTCCCAGCCAGGCAGCCCTTAGGTGAGACTCCATCTGGCTCCAACCCACATTGCATCCCGAGATCTCAGTTTGGTCTCATTTTGCCTATGCAACAGTTCGCCCTGAGTGAACCAAGACCTGATTAGATGTGTATTGCTGGCATAGACATTGCCAGGTTGAGACCTCCCCAAGGCCTCAGCCCAACTGAGTCCAAGTATCAGTGGTTGTGATTGGCCAGTGTGTGCCTGCACCTGCCTCCAGAGGCCTCCTTCAGAGACTAGATAACTCCTCCCTCTGTGCTGGGCCTAATAGTTTCTGGGTAGGGCAGTAGCCAACTTCCAACTTTATACTATGTGGGTGTCTGTGTGTCCTCTGTTCCCTTGCTTCTGTTAGAGTTCCAGGACCCAAGTCACACAAAACAGGGCAGACAGTGCAGAGCAAAGGTATACAACCAAGCCTTTTACATCACAAGCAGACTGATGGAGGTAGATTTAAGCTTTGGGTATGGGTAATTATGGGTATCTTACTCCCATGTCCAATTTAGTGTGACTTATCTCCGAGCTGTCTTGAGGCCACAGGTCTTTCTTCAGCCTTCCCTGCTGGTACTGTGTGTCTTCATAGCAGAGTCAGCGGTCACCATGTCCTCCTTGAGAGCAGGGCCCAGAACTGGATCTGGCATATGTCAAACCCTGCCCAGAGCTGAAGACTCACCATGAAAAATGGGCCTCTAGCTTTTTGGAACTTAAAGTCTAGCCAGAGAGATGTAGGGCTTGGCAGATGCAAACGGGGCACAGGCAGCAATGATGGGGTAGAAAGGCCACTGCCATTTTGCTTCAGCAGGAACATGACAAAGGCCAAAGGCTAAATGTTAAGCCTGCCTGCCTCAGTCACCCTGGAGATGCTGTTCTACCAGTTAAGAGGGACACTGGAGGGTTAGCTCTGGAGCCTGTCTCTCTACCTCCAACAGGCTCCCTGCAGCAGTATGTGGTTACACCTGGTTGTCACCCACATAGCTCACAGGGTAAGTCTCAGACACTGTGCTCAGCCCTGAGCTCAAGGTTCTGTATAGCAGCAGCAGCTTCTGTGGCTTCAATCCACAACAGCCTGCACCAGAGCGCAGACCCTCTGGCCCCCTAAAGGAGGAACGTGCACTAGAGAGAGGACTCAGTGGTTAAAGAGCACTGACTGCTCTTCCAGAGACCCAGGTTCAATTTCCAGCACCCACATGGCAGCTCACAGCTGTCTGTAACTCCAGCTCCAGGGGATCTGACACCCCCACACAGTCACACGTGTAGGCAAAATACCCGTGCACATAAATAAAACTAAAAAATTCAAAGGCTTAGGAAGGAAAGCGCTGGGCTAGCAACTGTGAGGCCTACAGCTGTGACTGGGTGGGAGGAGGCTGCTGCTGGTTTCTCAGAATCCTGTTTCTCAGAGATTCAAAGAAAGCCTGTGGCAGGCTCTGCAGAGAGGCTAACCACAGGGTCACTTAGAGGTGGCCAAACAACAGCCAGCACTGTGCCTTCCTGAGCTGCTCTGGGGACTGAGGCATACAGAGTATAATTTCAGAGCCACCCACCTTGTGGTTTGGTCATCCAGGAAACAGTATCCACCCTCCACCCATCACGAAAGTAAGGAGGTTGTCTCCTCATTCTGCGGTGACTTCGTTAGATTCCTTTTATATATGTGTATGTCTGTGGAAGCTTCTACAGTAGTAGGTTTCCGGGTGGCTTTGCTGTCTCCTCATATTCCCTCTTTACCCTGGCCTCCCATTTACCTCTTGTTTTTGGTACAACCTTGGCTATCCCTGGAACAGAGCTTCTTTGTGCTATCAGAAAACACTTCCCAGAAGATTTCACCTCAATAATGTTGTTCTCTTCTTAATCACCACTAATTTCTTGGCGCCAGCGAACCAGCATGAATTGTCCCAGCAGTCCCTTCTATTTTTCACTCTAAAGCCCTAGCCACATGGCCGACGCTGCCGTATTCTGCTGGGGTTTTTTTGTTTTGTTTTTTTGGTTTTTTTTGTGCTGAAATATGCCCCACCCCCTTTATTCTGTTACCAGCTCCCTCTCTCCCTAAGCTTGGCTTTCCTGGAACTTGCTCAGTAGATTGACCTTGAACTCGAAGATCTGCATGGCTCTGTCTCTAGGATTAAAGGTGAGTACCACTGCACCTAGATTTAAACTTTCCTACACCTAGAACTAGTTCTTTCCCATGTTGGCCTTAGCTCAGAGATCTACTTTGCCTCCTGGGATTAAAGGCTTGGACTACCATGCCTGGACCTAAATTTAGCTGGGTGGGATCTTGCCCCAAGGTCACCACTCCCTTAATTCAGTTTAATTTCCTTGAACAAAGGATTCAGCTCCATTTCACTTCCTGGTGCCCCTCTAATCCTCAAAACACATATTTTATATTTTTCATTTCTCAGCTTGCTAGGATTGTTTAAAATGTTCTTCATGAGACTTAACCAGAGAACAAAGTCTATGATGGGCATTTCTGAGACGTCCTTTTCAATGCAATTTACCTGAGTCTCTTCACCTTAGCCTCAGACAAGACTCTTCAGACAAGGGCAAAAAGCAGCCATGTTCGTCACCAAAATACCACAGAAACAGCCTCTACGCCACATACTGAAGTTCTTCTTCACTGAAACTTCTTGGGCCAGGTATGCACAATTCAAATCACTCACAGCAACAGTCTTCCATATTCCTACTAGGATAGCCCATTAAGCCCAATTTAAAGCACTCCAATGTATTCTAAATCCAAAGTCCCAAAATCCACATTCCTCCAAACAAAAGCATGGTCAGACCTATCACAGCAATACCCCAGTCCCCGGTACCAACTTCTGTCTTAGGGGTTTACTGCTGTGAACAGACACCATGACCAAAGCAAGTCTTATAAAGAACAATATTTAATTGGGTCTGGCTTACAGGTTCAGAGGTTCAGTCCATTATCATCAAGGCAGATATGGTTCAGGCAGAGCTGAGAGTTCTATATCTTCATCTGAAGGCTGCTAGCAGAATACCAACCTCCAGGAAGCTAGGGTGAAGGCCTTAAGCCCACACACACAGTGACACACCTATTCCAGCAAGGCCACACCTCCAAATAGTGCTACTCCCTGGGCCAAGCATATTCAAACCATGACACCTCTCTATTTAACCCATCTGTCCTAGTTTGGGTTTTATTGCCATGAAGAGACACCATTACCAAGGCAACCCTTATAAAGGAAAACATTTAATTGGGGCTGGCTTACAGGTTCAGAGGTTCAGTCCATTGTTGTTATGGCAGGAAATATGCAGGCAGACATGATGCTGGAAAAAAAGCTGAGAGTTCTACATCTTGATCCAAAAGCAGCAGGAGACTGTATCAATGAGTGTAGCCTGAGCTCATATAACCTCAAAGACCACCCCTACGGTGACACACTTCCTCCAACAAGGCCATACCTACTCCATAGTGCCACTCCCCCATAGACCAAGCATTCACACACGTGAGTCTAAGGGGGCATACCTAGTCAAACCACCACACCTATTATTTTAGTTTCTTTTTATCTCTTTAAAATACTGTATTCTCTTTCCCCTTCCCCAGCTAGGCCCCCTCAGTATCAGGAATGGGTTACATATTCTTGAGTTATTGGCCAAAAGGGTCCCATAACATTATCCAAAACATTATAGGCTAATCCCAATGTTATTGGTTACTGTCAGATAAAACAAAACAACAGCTCCATTTCCCCAAATTTCAAATGACAGAAGGGACAATTGTCTCTTCTCACCTCCTCCCTTACCCTAAACTCCCTCTAGCTCAGTCTCGTCTCCTCCAGCAATCCAGGAGAGGCACAAATGGACCCCTTTCCAATGAATCCAACTTCTCCTAATTGCATCAATCTGCTTAGTCAGCTCTCCTAAGGTATGGATTATTTTCTGCTAGTTTCTGCCTCTCACCATATTTGACTACAAATTCTAGAGTCAACTCTTCAGCCACTTCTTCCTTCAACCCACTATGCTCCTCCAGGACATCTCTCCTTCTCTCTGGCTCCTGGAGCCTTCTACACCTCCTGGGCACCTTGAAAGGCTCTCCGTCTCTGTCCCAGCACTCAGGTATGTGTCACCTTGGAGCTACTTGCTCTGTCTCTGTCTCTCTCTGTCCTTGTTAGCCTGCTAACTAGGATACTTCTCTAAGATACAGAACCCTCCCTCTGACAAAGTTCCTGTTTCTAACCCTTTTCCCTATGCCTCCCAGATGTCCACTTTCCTACTTGTACCATCTCTGAGCTGGCTTCTTCCCTTCCAGCCTCCTTTGCTCCTGCTTTTGTCTCTGTCTTCTTTGCTCTCTGTTTGTACGCTGACACTGGATTCAGTCCTCAGAGATCCAAATGTCTTCTGGACATGGGTACATGATGTAATGCTCCATTCTATAAAATCCTGGCTCTGAAGTTAAGACCCTTCTCTCCAGATCAGAGCAAGCTTATTTAAAACTTTTCTCTAAAATCTCTGACCTGGATCAGACGGGCTACCTGACTCTAACAGGAAGAAGAGAAGCAAACCAGGACAGGACAGGACAGGAAAAGGCACTATGCACTTAAAAGCAGCTAAAAAGGGAACTATCCCCAGTAGGGATTATGGCTGCTTATCTCTTACTCCTTGCTGGTTTTACTCAACTCTACACACTCCCCCGCTTGTATCTCTAAAACATTTTCTGATACAAAAGCTTTGCATCAAGATATGTATCTCAGGATTTGTACATTCATTGGTTGCAGTTTAAAAACCTCTATAGAATCTGTAACAAAAAGTTAGCTTAAAACTTATAATAAAAAATTAATAGTGTGTGTGTGATCTTAGTTTGCTACTGTATATTGTATATGTGTCTTGGATTTATTGTTTAGGAAAAAATGGATGTTTTTAAAGAAAGAAAAAAATGGGTATATGCCTGACTGGCTTACCTTGGAGTACATAGTGACCATGTAGCTGGCAGCCATCCTTCCTAAGGTTAAAGAGAGTCCATGTAACTTCACTACTCTTTTTTTGTTGTTTTGTTTTTTGTTTTTTGTTTTTGTTTTTTTCTGAGACGGGGTTTTTCTGTGTAGTCCTGGCTGTCCTGGAACTCACTCAGTAGACCAGGCTGGCCTCGAACTCAGAAATCCGCCTGCCTCTGCCTCCCAAGTGCTGGGATTAAAGGCATGCGCCACCACTGCCCTGCTTCTTCACTACTCTTGAATAAGATGACCACGTGGTATAAATCAACTAAGGCAGTGCCTATAATACTGAACCCTCTGCTTATCAGCTCTCCTAAGGAGACAACACCAAGTCTCCAAAGATATTTTGGATTCAGATAGATTTTTGTATGATTTTTTTGTCCCAAGAATAAAAGTTTTAGATAATGAACAACACATATTTGATGAATAAAATATGTTTGATTAAGATTCATCCACTCCTGAGATTATAACAGTCTACTCAGGTTATATAAACTGACTTAGAGATAAATGCCTAACTGCCTTGCTAACTGTGTTCAACACCAGGCTTCTGAAACTTTTTAGATAAGGAATGATGTAAGTTTGATGAATTTTTTTTTATTGATAAGGTTTTTATACATAAGGTTGTATAGATAAGGTTTAAAATTACTAAAGACTACTCAGGCTAACAGAAGCTGACTTGAAGATTTACGTCTAGTCCCTTTGTCTTTCATAACTTTATTAAACTTTAGTAATTTGAATAAATTTATTTATACAACAAACCATGATATTCTGTAAAGTTACACTATGAAAGGACCAGGACAGTAAGGTTCCCAGTTTCTCTGTGGACTATATTTGTGGTTTAAAGTTATATTTTAATGCTAAAGGATCTACAAAGTCTTCCATTCAAAATGTTGCGACTCAAACTTAACGGGGATAAAACTATAAACTCCTAATCTTATAAAAGCTACTAACTTGTGAATGTTAAAAATAATTAAGACATGCAAGTCAATGGTCTTATAAGTGGTCAAATTCTTTCACATGCTCAGAATCATGCCTGCAGTTATCCTGAGTGCAAATGTAATTCATTTACAGGAATAAGCTTTAGCCTTCTGTACATGCTACCGTATATATACTATCAATTAGCCTTCTGCATATGCTACCGTATATGTACTATCAATTAGCCTTCTGTACATGCTACCATATATATACTATCGATCAGCCATAGAGATCGCCGTAGAGGAAGACTGTCCAGGTAGTTATAAGTCTGTCATTTTAATTGACACAGAGGCCATTTGTATTACACTTTGTAATGTGTAATTTTATAAAACGCACTCCTGACTTTGGGGCAGTGGCCCCCTCCCAGCTTAGCTCCAAGATCTCTGCCAACAGCCCCACTCTTGGCTTGCCTAGGAGCTGCTCCACTCCACTGCCTCACTCTGGGCTTCTCTTTTGTTCCTCCCAGCTTAGCTTCGCCAGGCTGCCATCACCGACCTAGCTTCTCTCTCTACCCACCTTTGCTCCGCGGATAAAAAACACTCAGCTTTATCCCTTTAGAACTTTCCAGCTAGCACAATTGCTGGGCACAGAATCTCCTGCCCTAAAGTTATCAGCTAGCCTCCTTGGATATCAGCTGGTGGCCGTTGGATATAGCTTCCCTGAGATCTTACATGATAGCTGCATGCTTCTCGCTCCAAAGCCTGGCCGAAAAAGCCCCTTCTTCTCTATTCCTGCATCTCCTTTTCCTCCTGGGAGTCCCACCTGACCCTTCCACCCAGTGCTCGGCTCCTGGCTTCCTTTGTTGACCAAATCAAGAACCAATTAGGGAACCAGACTTTAATATCATCCCCTACAACACTTAATGCTCAGATTTATCCTTCTCCGATCTCTGTGTTGATGGCTAACTATAGCTTTCCCAGTTTAGCAGCAGCAAGCAAACCAGCTCCTCCCCAAGCAAGTGGAAAAATCAGGCCTTGCCTTTTCTAGAGCTATCAGATCTCCTAGTGAGAAAGGCAGACTCACTGGCTTCACGAAGAGATAAACTCAAAAAACAGGTTTCAGTGTAAAACCAAACTCAAGCTATCATCGTGCTATTAATAACAGAAAGGTTACTTTTTGCTATTCCTTTATTAAAAGAACTTGCTTGTCAGTCACTGCTCTCAGTAATCAACCACCTTTGAAGCTCTACCCCAGCTCAACCACTCCGCCAATGATCGATCTGGCTGTGCCCTTTCTCCTGCCCACCTTAGTTGCTGTGAATAGAAAAAAAAATGACAGCCTTAATATTTTAAAACTATCCAGATAACTCAATGGCTGGGCGAAGACCATCCTGCCCCATCCTTCTTGGCCTCTGCCCATGGCAGAGGCTACAAACTATAGGTACCCCGAGACCTACATGCCTGCCGCTTTCTCTGCTTCACTGCTGGCTCTCCCTCTCATCCCCTTCTCTTCCCCCTGGGACCCAGACATACCACCGTTTTTTATCCCTTTGCCTAGCAATTGGCTTCCACCTCCTTTATTGACACAAACAAGAACCAATTAAGGAATCAATACCTACCTCCCCCTACATATTGTAAACAGGCACGACCACACAGAGAAATCCACACCAGCTATGACAAACTGAGAAGCCATCAAGTTTGGAAGTCATCAAGGACAGAGTTGAAGATGAGAATACCATAATACAAGGTGCATTATGCTTACTGAGCAGCCACATAATGAAACCGAAGGGGAGTGATCCAAGTTTGTTAGAAAACCAACATTTTTATCCAGTCACTATACAAGATGACAGGCATCCCCAAGGTTATGAAGAAGTTAAATGGAATTAGATTAGATTTGAACATATTCAAGGAAGCAATCGTTTCATATGGTATGCATTCACCCTATGTGAAGCAAATATTAACTTCATAGGAAACTCAGAACAAAATTATCCGCCAAGACAGGAAAGATTTTGCAACTGCAGTATTGGAAGCTGGTCCTTCGTTACAATGGCAAACATCGTAAAGGGAGGAAGCTAGAGCTACAGAAGAGCATCATAAGGAGGTATTACTGTTTCCCAAGGTCAGTTGCTAGGTGAAGGTCAATATGCTGTGCTACAAAGGTAGCTTGAGTTTGATAACCACACCTTGGTACAATGTTGCTTGGCAGCTTTAAATGACTGGGACAAGGTTGAAGAGTCAGGAAAAGGGCCAGAGTCATTTACTAAAATTATATAAAACCCAAAAAAAGACTTCACTGATTTTTTATAAAATTGCTTCTGAAAAAAAAATTCTAAGTTAAGATTCTATTAATTATCTAGGACATAAAATAGATCCTACAGAAAATTCAATCACAGAAAGTACAAATCAGGAAAGATCAATTACAAACTCTTAAATTTTTTACACACAAAAAAATTGCTAGGAGATATTAACTAGCTATGGCCTATAATTGGTTTAACTACTCAAGAGCTAAGTAATTTATTTTAAACCTTACAAGGTAATAAGGACTTAGTTAGTATAAAGAATTATCAGTTGAGGCTGAGAGAGAACTAGGTATGGTAGAAAAGAGATTACAGGATGCACATGGGAACTGTTCAGATCCAAGGCTTGATTATTGTATTTTAGGTATTTTGCCTTCTACTCGTTCTCCCACAGGAATTCTTATGCAGAGAGAAGATAACATCTTAGACTGGATATTTTTAGCTCACAAACAGAGTAAAAGTTAAAGACCTGTATAGAAACAGTTTCTGAATTGATTCTGGATGGAAAATGAAACTTTATCAATTAGCAGGAATAAACACAGCAGAAATTGTGATACCTTTCACTGATGCTGAAATTGTCTCAGTATGGGCAGAAAATGAACTTTGGCAAAGAACTTGCAGTAATTTTAGGGGGAGAGATGAACAACAAATGTCCCAATAGCAAAGGTCTTCAGAATATTAAAAGAACTAGTTATAGTCTCCTTCATATAGTAAAAGGGACACCAATTTCTGGAGCCCCTACATTCTATACTGATGCAAATAGATCTAGAAAGGAGGGTATAAGCCAGGGAAGTAAGTGATGTGACTCAGAGTCCTAATGATTCAGATGAAAAATCAGAGCTGTATGTCATTCTTAGGTATTATTAGATTTCCCTGAATCTCTTAATATGGTTACTGACTCTCAATATGCAGAAAGAGTTGTTTTACAAATTAAAACTGCTGAACTCATTCCTGATGGTTCAGAATTAACTTTGCTATTTATTCAACTACAACAATTAATCAGAAATAGAAGTCATCCATTGTATATAACACATATCAGATCCTATACAGGTTCCCCAGGCCCTTTAGCACAATGTAACAATGAAATTGATTAGGTATTAATAGGGAAAGTCTAGAAGCCTCAGAATTTCATAAGAAACACCCTGTTAACAGCAAAGATTTGAAGAAAGAGTTGTTTCTACCACTTGGCAACAGGCCAAGGAAATTAATAAGGAAAAGTCCTCCTTGTTCGTTTTATAACCAAACTTCATACTTACAAGAAGTAACCCAAAATAAGCTCCATCGAGCTCCCTGTCTGTGTTTTCAGGTTTGAGTCTGAAGCAGGTAGCTAGGAACAAAGTTTGCGTACCTCAGATGTACTTAATAGGTTGTGGTCCTCAAAGCTTTCTGAGATCTGCTATATATGATACTTAACATGTTTTAAGTTTTACACCCTTTCCTAATGGTAACCTTTGAGATCTTCAAGATGAGGTCCTGCAATGATGAACCTGTGTAGACTGTGGTAATGCTAACCACTGGGTAAAACTGCCCCATGCCTCTTCTGCCGCCAGGTTCTACACAAACAGTGGACACCTCTGGGTTGACTGCTGTGTTCTACCTAGCTGACGAACACCACCCAAAGACCAGCTTCCAATACAAACTGCTCAAGACATTCATACTGCTGAGTTCATAGGACACTGACATTCACATTTTACAGAACTTTGAACTCAAAGAAAAACCTTAATACTAAGACTGCCAAATACAACCAAGATGGACATTGTGAAAACCTTATCAGAAATAGCTTCATCATCATAAATAGTTTTACTGTGCTAGAGTTAAAATATTTCCTCTTTATTTAGAGAAAAGGGGAAATTTTCTCATACTGTGAACCCCAAGGTTGTGTTGTTTACTGGAAAAACTTGTTTCCAGTTGTGATTGTGGCTCAGTCTTACCACATACCTTTAATCCAAGAACTTTCTGCTTGAATATTGTAAACTTGATTTAGTGAAGTTAACAATGGGTCAAGAGGCAGAGTAAGTAATCAGTTGACAGGAAATGAACATAGATTTATTAAGAGGAAAACATACTGAGTAAGAGGGAGTCCAGAGGAATAGAGGGGTGCACAGGAAATAGAAGGCAGTGGCATTCAGCTTGAGAGGGTTTGAGGTGGCAAAGAGAACTTCCTTTTAGGATGTTGGCTGTGGGGGAAGGTCAGATGGGTACTCTCTGCCTCTGTAAAATAGCAGGCACCTGGCTCCCAAGTCTCCATTGGTAAAATTGAGCGACTAAGATTTTGTTAAAAACACAACATTTTCCACACACAACCGAACTGATACACACGTGAATTCACGACTGTGACAACACTGAAGACCCATATAATTTCAAGCTAGGCAAATTCTCAGCACAGAGCAGTGGAGGTAGGCACAAAGTCCCACCCCTGACCTAGAAGCTTTTTGTAATGATACCTTCTGAGAGAGGAGCATCCCTTTTCTCAATGGAGTGACTCTGGGTATATCAACCATACTCCAGGGCAGACATCATATTCAGAAGTAGCAAGCCTGAAAAGAACTTTTAATTTAAAAGTTCACTGTGGTGGTGCAGGCTAGCCTGAGCTACATAGCAATTTTCAGGTCAACCAGGGCTATTCCCTGTCACAAAAAATCTAATAAATAAATTTGTTTAAAATAAAAACATAAGTATATTAGTAAGAGAACGTACATTTTTGAAGTGTTTAAGGCTGAAAGAAAGTTCTTTTTGCCTTTCACCTGAGTGTCAGGAGGAAGTTTTCCATTGTTCTTCACATGGGGTTTGGGGGACCTAGCCCACTGTGAGGTTCTAGTATTCAAGAATTTCCCATCAGTGTCAGAGGCAGCTTCACCTAGAAGAAAAATAGCGCCTTCCATAACATTACCTGGAGAACTGGATATGGGCATCATCCTTTCAGGATGGGACCTCCTAGGAACACAACTATGGCTATGAGAAGAAAGTAGTGTTAGTCAGCTGCCTGCATCACACACTAAACTCCAGAATGGTCAGGAAATAACCTTGCCCATCTTGGAGATAATCCCTTCTGATTCTGGAACCTTCCACCCTGTCATGTCTACTTCACCTTGTTTATTCTATTCCATTCTAAGTACTGATGGTGTCCTTCAAACTCACTCCATAGCCTGCTCATGACTCAATGCTTAGAGTTTAAAAAATATGGAAGTGGACACCCTACAGAGGATAATAAAAGGAAAAATCCAATACAAAACAGGAAACTACACCCAAGAAAAAGCAAGAAATTAATCTTCTCGCAACAAACCCAAAAGAAGAGAAACAAACAAGCATAATTCCACCTCTAACAACAAAAATAATAGGAAGCAGCAATCATTGGTTCTTAATATCGCTCAACATCAATAGACTCAACCCCCCAATAAAAAGACATAGGCTAACAGACTGGATAGATAAACAGGCCCCAGCATTTTGATGCATACAGGAAACACACCTCAGTGACCAAGACAGACACTACCTCAGAGTAAAAGACTGGGAAAAAAAATTTTTCAAGTAAATGGTCCCAAGAAACAAGCTGGAGTAGCCATTCTAATGTCCAAGAAAATAGACTTTCAACCAAAGTTATCAAAAAAGATGAGGAAGGACACTACATATTCATCAAAGAAAAAAATCCACCAAGATGAACTCTCAATTCTGAACATCTATGCCTCAAATGCAAGGGCACTCACATTTGTCAACAAAATGTTACTGAAGCTTAAAACAACATTGCACCTCACACAATAATAGTAGGAGATTTCAACACTCCACTTTCACCAGTGGACAGATCATGGATAGAGAAACCAAACAGAGACACAGTGAAACTAATAGAAATTATGAACCAAATGGATTTAGCTGATATCTATAGAACATTTCACCCAAAAACAAAAGAATACACCTTCTTCTCAGCACCTCATGGTACATTCTCAAAAATCAACCATATAATCGGACACAAAACAAATCTCAACAGATACAAGAACATTTAATTAATCCCATGTATTCCATCAGACCACCATGGACTAAGGCTGGTCTTCAATATAACAACTGAAAGCCCACATATACATGGAAGGTGAAAAACACTCTACTCAATGATAACTTGGTCATGGAAAAAAATCAAGAAAGAAATGAAAGACTTAGAATTTAATGAAAATGAAGGGACAACATATCCAAACTCATGGGACACAATGAAAGCTGTGCTAAGAGGAAAACTCATAGCTCTGAGTGACTACAAAAAGAAACTGGAGAGAGCATACACTAGCAGCTTAACAGCACACCTGAAAGATCTAGAACTAAAAGAAGCAAATACACCCAAGAGGAGTAGAAGGCAGGAAATAATCAAACTCAGGGCTGAAATCAACCAAGCAGAAACAAAAAGAACTATACAAAGAATCAACAAAACCAGGAGCTGGTTCTTTGAGAAAATCAACAAGATAGATAAACCCTTAGCCAGACTAACCAGAGGACACAGAGACAGTATCCAAATTAATAAAATTAGAACTGAAAAGGGAGATATAACAACAGAAACCAAGAAAATTCAACTAAGAAAAATCATTAGATCCTACTACAAAAGCCTATATTAAAGAAAACTGGAAAATCTAGATGAAATGGATGATTTTCTACTCAGATTCCAGGTACCAAAGTTAAATCAGGATCAGATAAATCAGGATCAGATAAATCATCTAAACAATCCCATAACCCCTAAGGAAATAGAAGCAGTCATTAGAAATCTCCCAACCAAAAAAAAAAAAAAAAGCCCAGGGCCAGATGGTTTTAGTGCAGAATTCTATCAGACCTTCGAAGAAGATCTAATATCAATACTTCTCAAACTATTCCACAAGATAGAAATATAAGGAATACTACCCAATTTGTTCTATGAAGCCACAATTACCCTTATACCTAAACAACATAAATACTCAAAATCCCATTAATATCAGGGACTAGACAAGGCTGCCCACTCTCTACCTATCTATACAATATAGTAGTTGAAATTCTAGCCAGAGCAATTACACAACAAAAGGAAATCAAAGGGATACAAATTGGGAGAGAGGAAGTCAAGATATCACTATTTGCAGATGATATGATAGTATACATAAGTGACCCAAAAAATTCTACCAGAGAACTTCTCCAGCTGATAAACAACTTCATCAAAGTAGCTGGATATAAAATTAACTCAAATCAGTAGCCTTCCTCTATTCAAAGAATAAACAGGCTGAGAAAGAAATTAGGCCAACAACACCCTTCACAATAGTCACAAATAATATGAAATATCTAGCTGTGACTCTAAGCAAGTGAAAGATCTATATGACAAGAACTTCAAGATCCTTCTGGGACTTGAAAGAAATCAAAGAAGACCCCAGAAGATGGAAAGATTTCCCATGCTCATGGATTGGCAGGATTAAAATAGTAAAAATAGCCATCTTAATGAATCTAATCTACAGATTCAATGCAATCCCCATCAAAATTTCAACTCAATTCTTCATAGAGTTAGAAAGAGCAATTCTCAAATTTATCTGGAATAACAAAAAACCCAGGATATCAAAAACTATTCTCAACAATAAAAGAACATCTGGAGGAATCACCATTCCTGACCTCAAGCTGTACTACAGAGCAATGGTAATAAAAACCGCATCGTATTGGTACAGAGACAGGTAGGGAGATCAATGAAATAGGATTGAAGACCCAGAAATGAACCCACACACCTGTAGTCACTTGATCTTTGACAAAGGAGATAAAACCATCCAGTGGAAAAAAGACAGCATTTTCCACAAATGGTGCTGGTTCAACTGGCAGTCAGTATATGGAAGAATGCAAATTGACCCATTTGTATCTCTTTGTACAAAGCTCAAGTCCAAGTGGATCAAAGACCTCCACATAAAACCAGATACACTGAGTCTAATAAAAGAGAAAGTGGGGAAGAACCTCAAATACATGGGCACAGGGGAAAATTTCCTGAACAGAACACCAATGGCTCGTGGTCTAAGATTGACAATCGACAAATGGGACCCCATAAAATTGAAAAAAAAAGTTTCTGTAAGGTGAAGGACACTGTCAATAGGACAAAAATTAGAAACCCATAGATTGGGAAAAGATCCTTACCAACTCTACATTCAATAGAGGGCTAATATCCAAAATATACAAAGAACTCAAGAAATTAGACTACAGAGAACCAAATACTCCTATTAAAAATGGGGTAGAGAGTTAAACAAAGAATTCTCAACTCAGGAATCTTGAATGGCTGAGAAGCACTTAAAGAAATGTTCAGCGTCCTTAGTCATCAGGGAAATGCAAATCAAAACAACCCTGAGATTCTACCTCACACCAGTTAGAATGGCTGAGATAAAAAATGCAGGTGATAGCAGATGCTGGCGAGGATGTGGAGAAAGAGGAACACTCCTCCATTGCTGGTGAGCTCCAAGCTTGTACAACCACTTTGGAAATAAATTTGGTGGTTCTTGAGAAAATTGGAAATAGTTCTACCTCAAGACCCAGCTATACTGGGCATATACCTAAAAGATGTTCCAACATGTAACAAGGACACATGCTTAGCAGCCTTATTTATAATAGCCAGAAGCTAGAAACAACCCAGATGTCCCTCAACAGAAGAATGGATGCAGAAAACGTGGTACATTTACACAATGGTGAACTACTCAGCTATTAAAAACAATGACTTCATGAAATTCTTAGGCAAATGGAATGAACTAGAAAATATCATCCTGAGTGA